GACTCTAATTACTATTATTCTCATTTAAATAAAATTGGTTCGGTCAAAACTTTTAATCTTTACACTTTTTCTCTTAACGGAGGAAAATATTGGAACTGTGAAAGATGTAAATATTTACATTTATGTTGTGTAGCTTGTAAGCAAGAGTATTTATTTTGTGGTTGTGTATATATTTGTGGTGCAACATTTCCAACTTAGAAAACAATCAAGAAGAATTTTGCCAGTTTAAGAAATGTAAATACTATACAAATGATATGAACAAAATTTCACATCAATGTATATTACTCTTTTTATCGATGAGCAAAAAACTAAAAAATTCTATCTCAACGAACCTATTTCACGAAAATATTGTAATAGATGCGATTCATATGATCATTTCCCATCAGATTGTTCTCAAACATATATATATTATTTAGATTCTTAATTATTTTTTTATTAATATTTGTATCTACTTAGTTTTAAACCGAGTAGAATTTATTTTATTCAACAATAAAGATGAACATCAACGATCTACCAAACGAAATTTTAATTCTAATATTATACCACATTTTTCAAACAAAAATAATCATATCCGATTTATCAACCACCTTATCGATTAAATTAGTTTGTAAAAGATGGCGCGAGTGTTATCGTTTGTTGTTCAAGACTCATGGAACCAAATATATTTTACTACATGATACATATTCTGTCGAGGTTTATACTCCCGTTAAAAAAACTAAATATTATTTTTATTACGATGAAGAGATTTTTTTTAAATATAACGAAGAGAATTATGAAATCTCCTCTGCTCATTTTAATTCAATATGTTTCTTAGATCTTTCATTTCTAACTTTCCAATATTATCTTTGTTTCATAAGAGAATATGAACGATGTTTAGAAAAAACAATTCTTCACACATGGGGCATATGGTTTATAGATGAATTTTATGATTGTAAAGTATCGAACTGTAAAACAAAAAATCAAAAATATCATTGTCACGATATTTGTAAGGAATGTTATAAAATTTATCATCCAAATTTACATGTTGATTCTATTAAATTAATAGAAATACAGAATTTCTAATCAGTTGTATTACTGATTAGAGTTTTAATTATGTAATTCAACGATAGAGGAATACATAGAATTATTGAAAAGAAACTTTACCAAAGAATATTTTCATTTACAAAATGATTATTATATTTTAGCTGAATCTGACTATTCTAAAGCTCGACAATTTCTTAAAAAATATTATCCACTTTTTAAAAAGTTGAGATATGTATATCCTGTTAATATATCTAACGAATCTCAGCTTGAAGAATTATTCAAAGTTTCTGTGAAAACAAAAAATAAAATTCGTTCTGTTAAAATTACTAATCCACTAAATTTACCATTATCAATTATCATCGAAGATGAAGAAAAATAAATTTATTAAATAAATAAAAATTTATCTACTTAGTTATTTAACCTAGTGGATTTTTATCTATGTAACCAGAAAATAGAAATTCTCTATAGTTTATTTCAAAACATAAACACAGGACATTAATTAATATTGCGATCGATGGCTATACAGCAACTGGAAAAACAACAGTTGGAGAAAGAATTGCGAGTCAATATGGTTATCACTTTATTGATTCTGAGTTATTTTATAAATACATCAATCACAATTATAACCATTCTTCGATTGAAGAAATCAGACAAGTTTTTGAAGATGACTTTTTTTTAAACAAGGTCAAATCCTTCAAAGATGAATCAGAACCAAACAATTTTGAAATAGATGAAAAAATACGTGATTTGGTTAACGGAAAAATCAGATCGATCGTTAAAAATAAAGGGTTTGTTGTTGTTGGTAGAGATATCACAACAAAATGTTTACCTGATGCAGAAGTAAAGATATTTTTAACTGCTGATGTTCATACACGAACTACACGTCATTTAAATCAGATTAATTCAAATGAATTTTTAAATTTATTTTATGGAAACGATCTTTTAAATTCAGATTTCACCTGACTATATTTTAATATTATTAAACAGAATACTGATTCTTTACTCAATCAAGCTCAAAATGTTTCTTACGCGATTGATACATCAAATTTAAATTTATCCCAAGTTATTGATAAAATTTTGGTACATGTATTCAAAAAAATTCTTGGAATCACTTACCAACGTTATCATAGATCAATTATTATTATTGTAGTTTTATATTTTATAAGTTATTTTGAATTGTTTAAAATTTTATCTATGTATATCTAGTTAGTCTATGGACCAACTAGAAATTTATTCATGTAATTCTTACAGATTAAACAAAAAATCGATTCTAATTACAATCTTGATTTCTACTTTCAAAATGTCTCAATCCGATTCTAACCAAAACGATGTTCCGAAACTTAAATCCTACGATCCCAATTTGCTTTTTGACTCAACTACTTCTCTCTCAAAACATGTATTTGAAAAAAGTTTAGAAAAAATATATTCAAATGATAATGCCGAATGATCAATTTTCCTTTCGAAACTTAAGAAATTTTTTGAGTTTCAATTTGAAGAGATGAATAAGATCGAAGCTAATTCGAAGTTAGTACATGATAGAAATGATTCTAATTTTAGTAAAGCCACTAATTTTAAAGATAAGATTTTACATGGTTCAATATATGGAGTGAGACAACAACATGATTATGTTATTGACACGTACTTCGAACATTTAACTAAACTTGAAAAAAAACAACTTGAATCGAATAAAAATGAAGATGAAGAGAAAAATACAAAGAAGAGGAAACGTAGAGAAAAATAATTCATTATATTAGTTTATTTATTTTATTTTATTTATTTATTTTTATTTTATATTGTATTCTATTCAGTATTTACCGAATAGATTTTTAGGTATGTGATGGCCCCGATTTATTATACCGAAACAATAAAATATAATAGTATCGACATATCTGTCAGATGGAGTAGACGGATACAAAATTTACCAAAACTTAACTACGGAACAACTATTCAAAAGAAAAACCCTATAACCAAATATTTTTGTGAACAGTGTAATTATTTTCACAAGAAAAAACAATGTAAGAAGAAACAAGTTCCTTATTACTGTGAGAAATATGACGATTTTCGGGTTCAAAAAAAATATGATAAATGTGCAAATTTTCTGATGGAACCAGAAGATTTCGATGAGACGTTATTAGACTCCTCTTCCAAGAGTTCTTACGGTAGCGATCAAACGTATTATGAACCTGATACAAAAGATTTTGTAATACGTGATAGGTTTAAGTATATACATAGTCAAAATGGTATTATATTAGAAGATTCTCAACTTTATTTTAGTGATAATGAATTGATGATAGATGATTCGTCATCTTCAAATACATGTAATTCTCTTTAATTAGTTTTATACCGATTAAAAAATTTTCTACGTAAATTCATTTCTCATTTTGTTATCAAATCATGTCAGAATATCACATTGCAAAAGATACTTATTCCTTGTTACAACAGGAAGAAGCGCAACTTCTTTCTTGGAAAAATGCTATCGAGTCTATATTTGAAAGTGGAATTACTTTTGATTGTAAAACTTCGATGGTTACTGAAATTAAAACGAGACTTAATGCAAATGTTAATCTGAAACAACATCAGAAAGCAACTATCGATAAATTTGAGTCTCAACGTCTTTATTTTTCATTATGTATTCTTGTTACTCCCAAGAAGGAAATTTGGATGAGTCTAAGAAACAACCCAAACAAAGATTTTTTCGGTTATTATCAGGTGGCAGGTGGTTCGCTTAATCCTGGAGAATCGTTTAATGCTTGTGTTAAACGTGAAGTTCTTGAAAAGACTAATATAGATTTAGAAGAATGTGATTTTATTACGTTTGATGAAGGAATCCGGGTATTTCCTAATATGGGTGAACGTTTATTTAAAATGGCAATTTACTGTGGTATTACCGATAAGATTCCTATACAAACGGAATCTGATAACAATGGCCCGTGGAAAAAATACACCTTTACTCAGTTCAAGAATTTGAAAGTCACAGATTCTTTACGTCTTAAAGAAAATATTATTATCGAATCGATTTTAAACAAATTCAAGTTACGTCGTTATACTAAAAGACGTAGGGTCGAAGAATCTGCAGCATCTTCTCCTTCACCTGATATTGTTCCTGAGCCTGACAATATTGAAGAAGAAGGGACTTTAGAAAATTAAACTACTTAGTTTTATTTTATTTTTTTTATCAATGTATTTATAAGTTATAAATAAATCAATCTAACTAGTCTATGACCGGTTAGATTTTTAATTACGTAATTCTGAAATGGCCGATAAGA